AGGTATTTTTGTTTTCAGGAGACAGGATGTATATTATACTCAAGGTGGTCTAGGATGGCTGGGAGTGGAGAATTTTCGAGCTCCTCTCACTTGATATAAAAAGGCACTGTCAGGGACCAGTGCTCAGACAGATCCAGGTAGTGGACCAAGACACCTAAGAACTTTTAACATTTCCTTTAAGAAGAGCATGCTAGCAACAAATCCCACAACTTTTATGTATCTGCCAAGGTTTATCTCCCCATTGCTCAAGGATAACTTGTTAGAATGGAGGGTTTTAGGTTGGTCGAGTTCTCCTCACCACTTTGACTATTTCACCCACTCTGTAATCTGAGCCCTGAGAAAATCACCCTCACTTTGTTGTTCCCATTAAGAAGCATGCTTCTCCTCTTCTTTTAGGATTACTTTTGTTTCAGTTTCTTTTCTGCTATCTGCATATGGTATCTGTAGATATGCCAGACTTACACTTCCTGGTGCTCCCCGGTTTTCTTGGACATGAACACAGCAATTGCCCTTTTAACTTTGGGGAATGCTGAGTCATTGCTGATTCAAATGTTTCTTCTGCTTATGTCTCTCTTCCTCAACCATCCCACCATGGAGACGGCGCTCTCTGAGTCCGTCCACATTGTAACCCCAGCTGTATGTTCATCACAGAGTATCCCTTTATCAATTAAATACCACTTATTTAAATTTGCTAATTTAGTTTCTCAGAGATTTTCCACACACATACTTTGGCTCCTTGAGTTGTGAGCTCTACATTTGCCCATAGTTATCCTGGCTTAGGAGAAGACCAGTTCCCCTGGGTCCTCAGCCCTCCTATAGCTCTAAGAGTCAACTTGTATTCTCTGTTGCTTTGGTTGTTGTTTGAAGATAGTGATGCCTTCTGACTCCTGCCTGCTGCCGGGAAACTCTTGAGTCTTTTCTCTCATTTCTTAAAAATCATCTATTTACAGATATTGATAGGAACTTTTCTGTCTTCTTCTTTTAATTACTAAGGACCATTGGGATTCATAAGGCACAGGTTTGGAAATTGGCAATTATATTTCAGACAAGCCATTCTCTAAGCATTATGATGAAAAATAAATGTATTCATCTTTCAATAAGAATGTAAAGAAAGTCATTTCCAGTCAAGGGTCTCCCTCCATAAAAGATACTAAGTTCAGAAAATTTTTCTTTTGGTTTCTAAAGTTCCAGTTTTAAAACCATATGTCTACATCATAGGGTCAGAGGCAGACAGACAGACAGACAGACAGACAGACAGACAGACAACTGAGTCAGAGAATGCAAACTTTCCAGTCATAAGTGAACTTCAGTTCTGAGTCTAAACTTCCTCAACCATTTCTGAGTGTTGACAAGAGCTTTTATGCCACATATAATAATAAATAAAAGAGGCTCACATCGGTCTATGTCTCCCATCACTAGGGATGTCCTGCTATCCGTGGTAGTGGTTGATTTCGTTCATAAACATCTTGAATGCCACTGATGTCATACAATGAATTCTGCGTCTTCTTCTGACTTGCTGACTTTTCAGCATGATGTATACATTTCATGTGATAAGAGTATTCATGCCTGAAAGCCATATGGTAATGTCCAAGGCAAGGTGCAGTGTTTAGAGTCAGAGAGTTCTGGGTTCTGGCTCAGTTCTACTACCTGAATGAGTATCTCTCCTGAAATCTCATTGTCTCATCTGCAAAGTAAAAATTAAAAATATGTCTTCCATAGTTGCCAAGATCTAAGGAAACAACAAAGGCAGGACGCTGACATGTTCTGACTGTGTGGGAAACAGCCCCAACTCCTTTCCATTCTAACAAAGTGCTATGACTACTTATGGAGGGCACCAGTGATAACCAATGTGCTTTATTTGGGCCAAGCAGTTTTTATTTTAAATTTTAAAGTATTTGCTGTGCTGGCTAGTTTTATGTCAACTCAACACAAGCTAGTTCTCTGAAAAGAGGGAACCTCAACTGGGAACACACCTCCATAAGACAGGCTACAGGCAAGCCCATAGAGCAGTTTCTGAATTAGTGATTAATGGGGTATAGGTCAGCCCATTGAGGGTGGTGCCACTCCTGGACTGTGGTCCTGGGCTCCATAAGAAAACAGGCTGAGCAAAGCCACGGAGAGCAAGCCAATTTTGGCTTCATGGCTTCTGCATCAATTCCTGCCTTCAGGTTCCTGCCCTGTTTGAGTCTCTTTCCTGACCTCCTTCAATGATGAACAGAGATATGGAAGTGTAAGCCAAATAAACTGTTTCCTCCCCAACTTGCTTTTTGGTCATGGTGTTTCATTGAAGTGATAAAAACTAGAACTAAGACATTTGCCAACATTAAACCCATGTTGACATAAAATCTGGCTCTCTGACCTCTGAAACTTGCAGTGACTGGGCTCCCTTCAGGATAGACCCAAGCCAGATTCCCCTCTTTGTCTCTAGTCCTCACTGCCCATATTTTCTGACCCTGGCTTCCTTCCCTTATATGTACCTGCCTGGCACATGATGTTTGTGTTGGGCATTGGAAACACAAGATAAAGAATAAGATCACTGAAGGGAGGCTTGCTGAGGACACTGAGAGCTCATTGGTTTTTGAAGAAGGTTCATGAGCACAGAGTACTTATCCAACAGATACTACCATCAAATTGTGAGTTTCTGATTTGGTCTCCATTCAATTCGAGAATACACCTATGAATCCTTAAAGGGGTTCTTCTATACTTAAAGATTAGTAATAAAATGTTTAGCGTGGTACTCTGTTATTAATTCATACAAATAAAGAACTAGAAAGGAAAGTGTCATTTCTAGTACCAACCTAGCCCTTGTTAGGCTGCACGCCCCATGTCTGCCACGATCCTCCACCCTGCCAGCAGCAATGAACGAGGTTCCCATCAGCTCCTGTTTGCAGTCTTTTTAGAGACATTCAAACAAGCAAAAGTACAGGGGAGTCTGGAAAGGTGACTATGCCAGTCTTTGTAGATTTAACTAAAGGAGGATGTTGAAGCATTTATCCACATAAATAAGCCCAAAGTAAGTCAAAGAAATTCACACCCAAAATGAGTGTTTTGTCTGAATTCTGCAGTTAAAGTTTCTCAGTCATCCACTTCCATGTTCCAGGGGACACCTGCTCTAAGAATGCTCTCTAGGAACTGGTGTTTTGGGGAGAGCAGCAATAAAGTGGTCTCTGCCCAGAGCACCCAGTAACAAGAGGCAGGTCTAATGCAGAGCACCTGATGATTGACAGGAGGCAGGTCTAATGCTGAGAACCTGATGATTGACAGGAGGTAGGCCTAATGCTGAGCACCTGATGATTGACAGGAGACAGGCCTAATGCAGAGCACCTGATGATTGACAAAAGGCAGGCCCAATGCAAAGTGCCTGATGATTGACAGCAGGTAGGCCTATTTCTGGCTCCCACACAGCAGGTCCAGCTGGGAAGGGGCTTGAGTCAATGTCTGCACATAGAGAGAGAGTGTGTGCCAGTGCCCAGAGAGGTCACCCTGGCTGACCCCTCACCCGGCTCATCACTTCTCCCTTCCTGAGACAATGTATATGATTTTCATTCATCTTTCTCAAATAAATGTCTTTTGTTCCACCGACTTTCAGCAATTAAAAGGGCAAGTTAATCTCAGAGCTGTTCTTCCTTCAAAGTATAGAATTAAAAGATGATTATAACTACAGGCAAGAAAGCATTTGGATTATGCATCACTTAGAAATGATAATAAAGATTACCCATATGGTCTCCTGTTCCAACACCCTCTCTTGCATTAGCAATCACCTGACATGGGTGTGGTTGTATTTATGTTGCTCATTTTCAATTCTGCCATGTCCTAGGTCAATCAGCGTCATGATGATTTAATAGAGATAGCTGCCATTTTCCATTTTAAATGCTGATGGGCGCTTACGCAGCATTTGAATACTTTTTCTTTTTCCTTTTCTTTTAAAAAGTGTTTTATGTATTTTAAAAAATATATTGAAACAGAATTGCATCACTTCCCCCTTCCTCCTACCAGCCTCTCCTTTGTCCTCCCCCTCAAGTTGCTAGCCTCTTTCCCTTTGATGATGATAATGATTATATGTATGTGTATATGATTATATGATTATATGTATGTGTATATGATTATATGTATGTGTATATGATTATATGATTATATGTATGTGTACATGCAAATGCATAAATGCAACCTGCTGTGTTCGTTTTCATTGTACACATATGGTTCAAGGCTGACCATGCTCTGTTTATAGTTTCAAGACTGAGTATGCTACATTAGACAAGGAGCTCATCCCTGGGAGAGGCTGATTCTCCTTCTAACAGTCATTGGTTGCCTGTAGTTCTTTGGGCAGGAACCCAGGAAAATTACCTGCTTCCATGTTAGCATGCCTATGAGATTATCATTGTTCTAGTTTTGTTGAGTGAGTAAGATGTGGAGGTCTGGGTTCCTTCATTTCCTCCTGCTGAGGGAAGGAATGTGGACAGGTTATCTCTGCTGGAAGTTAAGTTGGCTATGGTCAACATAATTTCAACACATAAGAATTGCAGGTTAGTGGGGGTAGAACCATGTCACAAATGGGAACCCGTAGTCCAATTTTGCCTGACAAATATTTATTAGAATCTTCTCTTTGACACCATGTCTCAGACAGTTATTTAGTAAGAAGCTAGTGGCTCTAGGAGCTTATCAGTTGACAGATGGTGACACAATCGCCTAAGGATCATTGGTTATTTGGGTTATTTTGGTTATTTGGATTGTTGTACAGAAAGTACTCTCTGTTTTTTTTCAGCTTGTTGTTGTTGTTGTTGCTGCTGCTGCTGTTGCTGTTGCTGTTCTTACTGTTGTTAGCAGAGGCAGTGGATGTTTCCACTCTCTGTGTGCAGCCTGGCAGGGTGCCTCACCTACATAAGGCACATAAATCATTGCAAGAATGAATGAAGTTGCTCCTAAACACCAGTGAATACCTGTGCCATGATTCTGTCTTCCATCCCCATGCATATCTATATAACTGAACTCTCTGTCCCAAGGAAACTGGCCAAGAAGAGGAAGGAGACGATGAGCAGCACCCGGCAGGAGATGACGGTGATGGTGAATTCTATGGACAAGAGCTATGCCGAGCAAGGCACGAACTGCGACGAAGCCTTCTCGTTCATGGACACTCACAACCTTAACGGGAGATGTAAGTGCCCGCACCACAAGGATTTTACTTACAGACCAGGTTCTGGTAGTCCTATGGGATTCAAACCCCAAATCCTCTTACACAGAACTGCTTTCTCCAGCTTTGGAGAAGGTGTTTTTGTAAATGTGCAAGGACCTAACTTAGTGATCTCAGGGATCCATAGGAAACGTCTTTAAGTTCTGAGAGCAGCGACACAAAGGCTCCCCTCTGGCTGAGCACGCACCTGCTTTCCCCTCACCCCTTTGGTTGCTTAGATCCCATTTGTAAGCAAGCCAGGTGTGGAACTGCACCAGGGAAGTCTGTTGTGAAACAGGTCATTAAATGGCACTAACAAGTTAATTGTTTGTTTGTTCAGCCAGACAGGCTCTGCCTTTATTATAGGGCAATTAGTGGCAATTAATAAATTAAAATGCACTTCAGTGTGTCTCAAGCTTCCCATCAGGTGGGCTAACCAATGCCTATCTGCGCCCACCTGTGATCCCCATGCAAACAGCGTTTCTGGAGATCAGCAATTCAATTGTTTATCTGAGGTACAAAAGGAACATATTTTTCCATCCCTGATTGTGTGACCAGTCACCAGAGTTAGATCCCACAGCTGGGCCGGATGTTGTAGTTCATGGCACACACTCACCATGTCCAAGAGCAGGGTTTCTTTGTGAGAAATTCATCTGAACAGACCACCACTGGTCCCTCCTGTATGATCAGGATGTCGTCAGTGTTAGGTAGAACAGCATAAATCTGAACAAAGCAGTGTAGAGAAAGGCTGGCGGGGTTCTGACCGCAAGGAGCACAGAGGATGCTGGGCTGCCAGCCTTTCTTCTCTTGGGATTGTGGTCTGCTCAGCGGTGTCTGCTCAGGAGCCTTGCATGCCTGTGACATTCACTTAGCTTTCACAGACTGCTTCTTTTGGTTATAGTGGCTGCCATTGCCCCACCTTTTCTCCTGCTATTCACGTGAGCTCCCTGCACACCAAGCAGCCTGCCAGACTTACTTGCAGCAGGCACTGCTCTGACATAGTGGGAGGGCAGCACTCTCGGGTTTGCGGCCCCCATCTTCCACCCCCCTGTGTCATTCAGGGTAGGGTGCAGGAGCTGGCATGTCATTGTAATAAACTCTTTCACATCTTTCTGCTTTTCCGTAGTAGAAATGACTTGGTTTTTTTTTCAATAAAGAAAAAAAGATTAATTACATTTGAAAAATCCATACATGCTGATATAGCTCCAAACCGAAGTATCCTGCCTTTGACTCTTTGAATCAGATGGTGTGGGGAGGGCCAGGGGTACTTTAAATACAGATGGAGCTGGAATATGTATAGTAGCAGCTGTTCTCTAAGCATCAGTCTATAAGGGACCACACAGGATGTGAGGAGCCACAGCTCAGAGGGAGAACACTTATCCAGCATGTTTGAAACATATGTAAAACACATGAGAAAACCCCAGAAGACAAAAAGGGATGGAGAGGGAAGGAAGAGATTACTCAGACAGGTCCTCGCTTTCACTTCACTGTCAGGTTCTCAGGAATACATTTTCTTGAAGGACAGGACAGGAGCCGAAACGAATAGCTATGGGATGTTTCACATTTGAACCCCAGAGGGAACATCACTGCTGGACAGGAAGTCTAACTGGGCAGTTAGTTCTACTCTGGTCAGTACTTGCAAGACCGCTGTGGAGCTTAGGTTTGCCATTGCAGCCTCTCTAACTGACCTACTCCTTGGAATTCTTTGACCCTCCTCTCAGTGAACACAGCAGAAGAACTTGTTCCCTCCTGTTCTGTTAGCCATGAAAAGTCTCTTGCAGTTTCATTGACAGGGATCCCCAGTGGTAGACATTTTCACAATGCTCTATTGATTCCCTCTCAATTAAAGCTACTAGGGAACCAATCCCAAGGAGAGTTTACGAAGATGCTTGGGCTACACAGGGACCCACACACACACACACACACACACACACACACACACACACGCTGGAACGCATGCACACCATGCAGATATACATACCTGCAAGTTCTTACTCAGAAAGTTCTAGAAGCTGTGAGGTGAGTCTCATTTTAAAATGAGATAGTAAGGAAAAAAAGGCCAGAGAGTTGAAAAGTAAGGCAAAATTTATTGATGGGAGGGGGGTGTAATCTGCCTGCCAAAGCAAATATGAGACATGCCTTCCCCTTCACTATAGCATAACAGGGGAAGTATAGAACATGGGGAAGGAGAACAGGCTCAGCATGAGTACTTACAGATAAATGTTTGGCACAAAGGTGGATTTGAATACTGAAAGACAAATGCATTTTAACACAAAGGTATAAATAAACATAGTCATTTTGTATCTGCCTCACACATGTTTACCAAGCACATAATAAAGTGGCCTTGTGCTCTCCCTCTGAGCAGGTTTATAAGTATACGATCTCTTTAGTTCTTCTTTCTATCAACTTGCTGTTTTCCTGGCAACTTACCAAAGTCATGCATAAATGTGACCCTTCTCTGTTTTAGGGAAACAACCAGGTAACTGACAGACAACCTGGATTCTGGTCCTCCCTCTGTCCCTGGCATATCTGCCCTCTGAAGATATGACCATATGTAAAGGCACTTCCCTTTACTACAAAGATTGCTTCTGACAACTAAAATACCTTAACACATCATCAAAGTAGTTGCAACCTGAGGAATCTCGAGGATCCCTAGCTCTGCCATGGATAGGGTGAAGCGGTTGTACGTGGATCTCCGTGGAAACTCAGCATCAAATAAATCACTTAAGTACTTAGAACTGTAGCCATGGGCGATGATGTTGAACTACCCTGAGCAGACATCAGTCCTCATGGAGTGAAAGTGTCTTATATTATTACCATTTGAGGATGTAGAGGAGCGTTAACATACTACCTGCAAAATTGTAAATACCCATTTTCATTGGAATCAGTTAATCAGAGAGTTTGACATTTCCTCTTAGCAATAGAGACAGAGAGACAGCATGGTGCTCATGTGTTTTTCAGAGAAATAATCCAAAGAAGTATATTACTAATTATTATTATTATCATTAAAAACTAAAAGGGAAACATGGAAAAAATAATTTCATTTTCAGTTTAGCATAAATCAGCTTTACTTTTATGAGCCAGGTTTCAGCAACCCAAATTTTCAAAATATGAAAAAGGAGAGGATTTTTAGCAAAGCACCAAAATACTATCATTCCCTTTGTTCATCCGCAGCCCCGTATTGATGGGTTCTTACTTTCATACTCATAAACTCCAGCTCAGAGCAGAAGCACAGTCACAAAGTCCAAGGCAAAACATCCAGAGGAATAAACCTCTTGAATTCCCACATTCAATGTGGCTGCTGTTTGTAGGTGTTTTCCATTATAGGATAAGAAGAGTCTTTGATCAAAAGGGTTTGTCCATCAAAAAGGATGAGTGACTTCCCAGAAACTACTAAGAATGGTGGCATTCGCCATGTGGACTTCAGCAAATCCCACAAACTTCTCCGCATGAGCCATTTATCTTCACACGGACTGGCTGCCGTGATTCTAGAATGTCCTAGATTCCAAACTCAACCTACCTGTGGCCTCTGAACCTGCCTTTCTCTCTCCGCAGCCGTGTCTTCACCGTCATCCTTTACAATGAAAACAAACACGCTGAGCACATCGGTGCCGAATTCCTATTACCCAGGTAATGTGCTCCCTCCACCACCACGAATCCTCTCTTTCGCCACCTTCGGCAGTGCTTGGGCTTTTTTGCTTGATGTGAAGCCTTGGCTTCCAGTGGCTTTCCTGGGGAAGTCGGGGACCATTCATCAGTCATTTACTGTTCTTTCTCTTTTTACTCTCTCTGCACTGCCCTGCTTATGATGTATGACAGACCCATTTGTGCCAACTGCAATCTTAGGTGAGAATGATTCCCTTTCCCAAAGTTTATTTCAGGAGTGACTGAGAAAAATCAGCCGCCCCCTGCTAGAGGAGACTGGAGCTTGTACTGTGCATGATGCCATGGTTAGAAGTGGGCCATGGGGTGGAGTGGGGCTAGGGGCATGGGGTGGTGATGAGTCTTCCTCTGAGGTCTCCACTGGTAGGAAGGGTTTGCTGCAGGGGGTGGGGGGAGGAGGTAGGGAGCTCCAGTGAGCAATCCCAGCTCCAGGGCTCTCCCTATCTGTGTTCAGAATTTAATGTCAGCTCTGATCCCGGGGGAGACAAACAACACGTCATCACTCAGCTGTGTACTTCCCAGAGCTGAATCCTGTCCAATGTGACAGTCATAAAAGTGAAATGGCTGCTCGTTATTTTCACTTATCTCTCTAAGCACTAAAAACGCCAGTTTCAAAAATAGCATTTTCCTAATGATGCCCCCCACGTCATACAGTGCAGTGATCTCAGTGGGGTCTAGACCCCCTGCCCGTCCACCCAGGGCACCCCCCAGCCACGCTGTCTATCACACAGTGGAATTTTAACGGAACTGATGTTCTGAATGGCGGAATGGCAGGAGGGCGCTTTAGCATCATGTACTTTGTTATATGTCAGATGTCACAAGAAATGATCTAAAATGTTAGCCCAATGGGGCAGAATGCATTTAAAGTATGAAATATTCCCAGCAGGGGGTTACAGGGAAAAAAAAGGTCCCGCTTGTACAGTGTAAGAAGGGTGAGGAGACATGGCATTACCTGGCTGTGATGAGCAGACAAAGCATGGGCTGCTGTGGCGTTTGAGACGCATATGTAACCCGAGCGTGTCCCGGCTGTGTTCTCTTTCTACCACTAACCTTGCGGGAAAGGAGCACAACCAACTCGGCTTCCAGGTACATAACAGTTCACCATAGCCAGAGCTTCATCCTTAGCTTCCACTTCTTCTTCCTGACCCTCTTCACTAGGCCTCAACACCCCGCACCAAGACTCCCCACTGTGCTTCTCAGTTCTCAAAGTTGTTCCGATTTCCAAGGAGAGGGTGACTTTGGTCTTAATAATGGAGTTTTTTTTTTGGGGGGGGGGATGGGGGAGGCTTGAGCAAGTTGTTTGCCTAAGGGGAAAAAACTAAGCTAAGGTAGAGTATGGAGCAGAATATTCAAAGCCTGGTGCAGCCCCCATGCGGGGTTTGGCACCAACTACAAAGGGGGTGCTTGGTTTTAAACCCTTCTCACAGGTGAGGGACACAGGCTCATTTAATGCACACTGACATTGCGATCTCCATGCAAAACCATCTGTGAAGTCACTGGGTGGGTGAAGATCAGCACATGAGGTGGCATTCACATCCCAGATTCCCTGTAGCTCTGGAGGAACCATGGGTAGGGAAGGCTGAGTCGAGCATTGTCAGAGGGAAGAAAGCATTCAGATTTCACAGCGGGGTGAAGATAAGCTTATTAAACAAATATCATTTCTCCAAAGCCACTGCCTTATTATTAGGAACATTAATGACATCTTTTGAAGTCGATTAGGCTCCCTTTTCTGAGAAAGCGTGACTCGAACAGACAATCCAAGTTTCAAAGCTGGTGTGAAAGAAATAAGTCTACCATATGCACAGATCACTATTTTCTGATAAAATCTGTGAGGCAGAAAATAGTCGAATAAGTGGTGGGACTCGGAAACCGTGCTAGAACCCCAGGATCTGGTTGTCTCTGGAAACCACAGGAGGAGGAGCTTTGTGTCTACCTTGGTCTTTTGCAAGGGTAGGAGCAGTCACAATTTATGTTGAGATAAGAAGAGCTATTTTGTTGGGAAACAGGGTTCAGCAGAGATTATATCTCTACTATGTTAACGTTTCATTTTCACTTGCAAAGACCCAATTGTCATGGAGAATTTAAGTCTATTTTATCTCATTTGCTTGCAAAAACAAATGAATGGATGGGATGGATGGATGGATGGATGGATGGAGACAGATAGACAGATAGTTGGTAGACAATAAACGGTTGAGCCTTGAGCCTCCTCCATCTCAAAAATACAGCATCCATTCAAAATCAGTATTTTCAACTAATTCATTAATGAATATAGAGTTAATTCTGAATTCTTAGAAAACCATCAGAACTAACATATTCAGAAACCTCCCTGATTCTTTCATCTAAGACATTATTTTTAATTGTAGAAAATTGTTGATGGGTAACTTTTTAATATAGGAAACGGATGACATGGGGCACTGTTTATCAGTAATAAATCATTTCAGCAGTCAGAGAAAACTGATTAATTGCTCGTTTTAGTAGAGTCGGGAATTTCTAGCAGGAGAGGTGACCCAGTTTCCCAATAGACATAGCACACAAGTTCCCGTGGACACATCTGTGCCAGAGAACAGCTCTATCTTTCTGGGGGGGCGCAGTGGGGGACATGGTGGTGTGGAGATGTCTGAAAAGATGTCCCATTCTAGAGATGAGGCCAAGGCAATGGAGAAACACAGGCAACATTGGCAGCATCTGTGACTCTGAGGCCTTAAAACTCTAAAAACACCCAGGCTTGGGAGCAGAGTATCACCAGATTCATGGTATATCCACTTGAAAAACCCTGAGTCCTTTAGGTGGTGTTTCCGCTCAGCCACAGTGAAAGATGAATTAATTGTACTCACTACACAAAATGTAAAAACAAAGAGAACTAGAGAGGCACAGAGGGGAAAGTAATTAATGTTCCATTTCTTTTAGTATTTATACAGAGAAGAGCTTTTCTATCAGAGGAACTAGGAGCCCGTGTATTGAGTACCTCAGCAGGGACCCTGAGTCCTAGCTGATAACTCAGCAGTTGCCAACAAGCAGATCTGATATGCAAATTCCAGGGGGGGAGGGGTTACTGGTGACTATTAAGACGGGAGCGAACATAGACCTTGCTAAATGTCAAAGCAAATCCAAATGAAAAGCAAAAATGAATCATGAAATCAGCTTCTCACCCTTTCTTTATTTTGTTTCTTTTCGTGTCTTTAGCCGCCTCGTAGTGACTGGGGTGCCATTTCCGCCACGGCGACATAGCTCCACCCCTGTGTACCACCCTCCATACCATGCATCCCCAGGGGCTTTGCAATGCACACAGAGCAGGGTTGCAGGGCAGGCACTAAGTTCCTTAGGACTAAGTAGAACACCCTCAACAACAACAATAACAAAACTCATTAAGAACAACTACAGCTGAAACCCCTGTTTAATATGTAACACCGAATTCCCAAACATCCCCACCCTTTCTCACATATTTTTATTACTTACACGTCAAATTGATTTGATATCTCCTTTCCAGTGACTCTTAGCACTGTGATTTCATAAAGGCCTCCCTAGTTCACGAAACCATGAGAGGGATTCAGCATTTTAAGGAGTTAATCCATAAAAAAAAAAGTTTTGAATCAAATAGCCTCAACTGAACACGTCTGACTCAAACATTTTTTTTTTAGTAGATAACACTGCTGCGGTTCATTAATCTAATTTACTAGTCATGACCCATTAAAATGGAGCCTATTTAGGCTCCTTTGACCAAATTTCAAAATTTTCTAGTACAATTTGATTGGCTTTGCTCAAGAAATTTAAAAGACAAATTCGTTCCATACAGACATCCTTTATTCAGTTATTTCTCGGTTTATAGGGGATGAAAAGCAATTTTATACTATTTTTAACCTCCTTTTTGTTATTGGGTGCTTAAATGAGAGACCTCCACCCTAATGCAATGGCAGAGTTGAGGCTCTGCCCTCTGACCACCTCTCAAGAGAGAGAAAGTTTAACTGGAAGGCTAAAACACAAAGTAGAAGTGCCTGTAGTTATCCACACAGACTGTTGCTTACATCCTGTCTCCTTTTTCTCCTCCTCTTCTCTCCTGATATGTATCTGCTTTAAAGTGCCAATCAATGGTAAGTTCCCCAACTGGCCCCTTGGAGAAGCTGCGGAGGGAGTGCGGGAGTGTGCGTCTTACTCATAGACTTGACAGAGCCAGTGTGCTGCCCTGTGCTGGCCTGCATGCTTGCTGTCCTAGACCATCCTATGTGTGATGTGTTGGCCCGCAGTGTTTCGTTAAGTTTTCTGATCCCAGAGCATGCAAAGTAACTCATCAAAACATTGCTCCCAAACCACGCTCCCTCTCCTTCTCGGTTTTTTTTTTTCTCTCTCTCTCTTTTGATTTCCTGAACTAAGTGCCCATCCCACCACTAGCTTTCTTTGCCAAACCATTTTGTGCACTTTTCTTTTGCTCATTGAACATTTGTAGAGTTCGTTTATTTCATCATTCAAATGAGTTAGGTAACATTTGGAAGTGTACAAGCCTGGTTTCGCGCCAGGTCTTGATAAAGTTTCAGACTGAAACTTTCGCCGATTTACCACGGAAATGCTGGAAGGAGCATTTGCTGATGAGCTTTGCAGAAGCAATATCTCGTTTGGACTGCTTTGTAAGAGCAAAGCCTTATTTCTAGCATATTGCCAATCCCACCTAAACCTACAAACGTGTAACTTTTGTTTTCTGGCTAAACCATCTTAAAGTGGAGGGATGTCAGCAGCCAGCTTGTTAGCGACCTGTGGTCCTGACTCAGCCCTCTGGTTCACCCTCCTTTTCTCCTTTGTCTTCCTTTCCAGATGAGACCCACACTATGGCCAGTGACACCAGCAGCCTAGCACAGCCCCATACTTATAAGAAGCGCGAGGCCGCCGACGTGCCTTATCAGACTGGGCAGCTTCACCCTGCTATCCGTGTGGCAGACCTCCTCCAACACATCACTCAGATGAAGTGTGCTGAGGGCTACGGCTTCAAGGAGGAGTATGAGGTGAGCCTGGGCCAGCAGCTGGCTGTCAGCATATTAAAGAAGCTGCATGGATCCTGAGAGATGCCAGACAGGTGGCCAGATAGGGGTGAGACTTAGACCAAGTTCACGTGTGTTCAGTGGGAAAAAAAACCCGTTTCACATTTTACTTCCTTGTGCAGAAACATACATTGGCTTCAGGCTATCTTTTTCCTCCCCTTCTTTCTCCTCCTCTTCCTCTTCCTCCTCTGTCTCCTCTTCCTCTTCCTCCTCCTCCTTCTCTTCCTCTTTCTCCTCCTCTTTCTCTTCTTCCTCCTCCTCCTCAACTATTTTCCTGCAACTAAGTATGAAGTTAAATTCAAGTTCTGTACCTGTCTCAGGAAGAAAGTATCCACTTAAAGCCACTGTAGATCAACTAGGAAGTCACATTATAACAAGCAGACAGTAATAAAAGGACTGGCTATTGTCATGGCTATAACTTCTGTAGTTTCAACATCCAAGAGTGTACATTGCTGTTAGGGATGTTCCAGGGGACACCTGTCAGAGGCTTTTCTGAGACCATAGTATCCTCCTACCCTATATAAAGTGCAGAGTTTCCCTCCCTCTCAGCCTTAGTCATCAAGCAAATTTTGCTAAGAAACTCACTCTAGAATCAGAGGAAATTCTCTGACTTCACAACATTTAATGCAAAGTAGCACACCATCCCCTGAGTGTGTATGCAGGTGTATTGGGGGGGAAGTAGGAAGATTATATTGATTTTTGCATTAGCAACACAAAAAAGCAATCATAATATAATGTAATATAATATACTAAAATGTAAGCTTGTGGTCATTGTGAAAAGCATGATTTCTCAGGGTAGAAACAGAACTGCACAGGAATGGATTTCTAAGCCTTGGAATATGTTTTAATCAATCCCTTGTCTACAGAATCAGCCCACATTTTAGAAACATCTCATCTGGCGCTAGAGTGTTGTTCTGTGATTAGTTGTGCCTGTCTTTGTCATCTAATAATTTTATCGGTGCTTACACCTGCAAAGTGCTCAGAGGCAGCTCCTCTAGCCTGTCTCGGGGTTTTCAGCTTTAAGGAAGATAGGAATCTACCTTACAGAGTCTCACAATCCGGCTGAGTACCAGTCAGCACCTTGTAGGAAACAACACGTGGCAGTTTTCATAGATTGGCATCCAATTCCCAGGCTCCACAGTTAACACTGGGAAACATTTTATGACTTAAGTGATATATACCACACTAGCCACACCAGAGTGGCAGAAGGGGACCCAGCAGACTTTATAAAACTTGGTGCCAAATTTTGGAGGAGGTGATGCATGTGATTAATGGCTTTGTGCTTTTATTTTTTGTTTAATTAAGAAAAGTGTTTTATACAATATATTCTGATCATGCTTTTTTCCCTCCCCCAACCCCTCCCAGATCCTCCCCACCTCCACACTCACACAACTCTCTGCCCCCTTTTCCCCTCTCTTTCTTTAAAACCCAAAACAAAAAACATACATACACAAATAACCCACAAAAACAAAATATGAAGTATATAAGCAAAAGATCAATAAGATTAAAAAACCATCCAAACGAAGCAATATGAGACAGAAAAATACCATTGAGTTTGTTATGTGTCAGCCAACTATTACTGGGCACAGGGCCACCCCTTATGTGTGGTTAATATGCCCAGTGAAGACTGTTGGATAAAACGTTTTCCTTCACAAGCAGGTTTCAGTTACAGACATCTTCTTGTTTAGACGTGGGAGCCCACGTCCACATCCCCTTTGTGGTCCTGGGACTCTGTCAGGTTTGAACCTATGCAGGTCCCGAGTGCTGCTGCAGTCTCTGTGGGTTCCTGTGTGTCTTGATGACATGATTTCCTTGATGTTGTTCATCCACTGGACTTCACACTATTTGTGCATAGCATGATGGAGACATCCCATCTAGAACTGAGTGTTCCAAAGTCTCTCACTCTGTACACTCTGTCCGGCAGTGGGTCTCCATGTTAATTCCCATCTACTGCAGCAGGTAGCTTCTCCGATGATGGCTGAGTGAGGCACTTACAGATGAGTATAACAGAATGTCAGTAGGAATCATTTTACTGCTGTGTCCCTGTAGCAAAAGAATTTGGTTTCCTTGGGTTCTTGGCCACCCTACCAGTGTCGGGTGTGTGCATTTCATGGTGTGCTCCTTAAATCCAATCAGAGAGTGGTTGGCTATTCCCACAATCTTGGATCTAGAAGTAGAGTAGTGCAATCATCAGTTACCTCTGTGTATCAAGCAATGTTCTGTATCCCACTTTACTTTGGACCTCAGCTTGGTCTTAGGCTGAGCTCTCTGACCAGCTTGATTATGAAAGATCCGCTACAAACAGCATCTGAACCACAAACAGTGGCTGAACCACAGCCTGTGGCCCGGAGCAGACACAGACATGCTGTGCCCAGCCACAGGTACCACCTGCTATGGTGATAGTGATCTGAGATCAGAAGATGGCAAAACCATGGGAATCTATCCCAGCTATGTCCCTCTAGAAAACGTTTACAGATGAAGTTCTGTATTTCAGCAGCCCTGAAATTCTTAGATTCACCCTTATCAACCCAATGTATAATTCAGTGAAATTGACAGCTTTTGCATATTGCCTCATGTACTTTTTAAAGGGTAGCTTAGGAATTAATAGGATTAAGAGTAAGACTTCCAAAAGCATTAATATCTCATGAAAGACAAAATTAGGTTATTGAGAAAACATAAGCCTAATGAATAGAGATGCTGTCTTAGCTCTATCCAATATTCTGCATGCAGATATTGCTCAGATGTTTATTGAAGATGTTAATGTCAAAGAGATTAGTTATAGGCTCAAATAACAATTCATAAAACAGCTGAGTCTAATTTTTCATGGACTATTTAAAAATACCTACCTTGTGACTATTGTAACAAACTATGGGAAATGCATATCTGAACACAATGCAAAATTTACTTCCCACTCAAATCTCCTGAGGATTGTTGATCTGCAGGTACAGACTCGGGTATCTTACACTCATCTTGAACATTCTCTGATTGACAGCTCATTGGGATTTGTTATATGTTAAAATAAAATGCCGTCTGTTAATGAATTTCAAAAAAAAAAATCTTCCACTTTCATTCAACCCACCCAGTGATCAGGGAAATGGTTTAAAAGCAAATACTCTTGAAAATGGAATAGTGGTCCTGGGTTCTATAAGAAAGCAGGCTGAGCAAGCTATGAGAAGCAGTCTAGTAGGCAGCACCCCTCCATAGCCTCTGCATATGGTCCTGCCTGCAGGTTCCTGCCCTGCTTGAGTTCCTGGCCTGACTCCTTTCAATGATGAACTGTGATGTGGAAGCATAAGCCAAATAAACCCTTTTTTCCCCAAGTTGTCACAACTTGGGGTTTATCACAACAGTAGAGACCCTAAGACAGCTAGATTTAGAACTGTAACAGGATTCACCCTTCTCACTCTTGCCTTGAACAGTGTGCTTCCTACAAATCTTGAGCAAGTTGTCTAGCCTCTATGACCCTCAGTTTCTTCATCCATAAAATGAAGTTAGTGAAATATCAGGCCTTTGAGGTTATGTGAAGATTTAAGTCATGTTCTATATCATCAGGACTAAGATTTTTATCAAGAATACAGCAATCTTTCATATGTGTGTGAGTAAACATTCAAGATGTTAGGAACTTAAGACAAAATGCTCTATTAACAAATTTATTGTGGTGAGTTGCCCGCTGCCACAGACACACAAGGGAACACTTCAATGCCCACCCGCTGTAAGATCACAGTGTGATAAAGGAACTAGGTCAGAACTGCTATGCATCTACTAACAACCTACATGGCCCCATAAATGTTCAGGGTACTATGAAGGACTTGGGTACACCTGAGCCAAACTGGGACAAGAGTGACTCTTCTCTAAAGCAGGAGTGGGACTTGTCACAATAAGCTGAAAGAGGGCACATTCCATGTAAACACAAAACAAGAGAGGATCAGTGCTCTGGAGAAGGCTCATGCATGAGCCACCATAGGTGTTAAAGACATGAGGGTCATGATCACTAAAGAGTTTAAGGTGTCATGCATGAGAAGTATGTATGTGCTGGTGGTCTACGAGCAGTGACTCCAGGAAGTAGGCATGCTCCTACTTGCGTGGATGGAGAGTTATTTCATAGAAGACTTAAGGAAAAAGGCATGCTCCTCCTTGTGTGGATGGAGAACTATCTCATAGAAGCAGCAGCTCGGTCTCTTAAAAGTTATTTCTCAGAGACACACAAAAGAAAATGAGAAAAAGGAGAAATGTATTTATGGAGAAAGTATTCCAAATGTTCTGGAATGTTTATTCTCCAAACCACTGGAGGAAAGAAGGCCTTCCATACTGAGGCGTTTCTAGGGTAAAAGGATAGAGATGATTACTCGGCTGTTTCCCCAACTCAGTGCACACAGACATTTGCTCTTTCTGCTTTTCTCCAATCCACAAGGAAAACCTAGTCACACACTTTGTTCAAGACCCCTTGGAATAGTGGCTTCCCCCTGCTTCTCTGCTCTCTGTGTTTTCCAAGTCAGCAATGCCTGGGAATTGCCCTAAACTCAGAAAGGCTTCATTAGCAAGCAAGTAGCCATACAGAAGTGTGTCCAAACAAGAAAGAAACATGCTGTGGAGAGGAGGCAGAGCCATTCTCAGTGCAGGTTCTGTATTTGATTTTGTTCTAACAAGATAGTCATATGGCACAGCTCACCAGGGAGACATGATAATTTGATTCAAAAGAAACCCCACTCGAATCACAATGAAGAAGCATGCTCACTTGAACGGAAGATGGCATATTGTCAGCAGCAAGTGGCTCAGACCTGCGGTGAAGACTGGAAAGGGCAGGTTTGGTTATATTGCCAGGAGAAATGACCAGGTTCATTCTTCAGAAAAGCAATGGCCAGTCTAGATAGACCACCCTCCCCTCAGTGGACAAATCTGTAGGATCCCCAGAAATGGGGAAAGGCTACAACTGCACTCCAGGGAGTCAGGAGAGGGTGTTGTGG